GAGCGTCATGCGGAGATGAGCAGCAACGTGAGGAGCATCAGGCGCACTCGTACTGGCGAGATGCTCCTGGTGCTCAAGCGTGGCACTAAATACCAGAGATCGACCTACCAGAAACTGGCAAAGGAGGTCGTTGGTAATGGGGTGCAGGTGAAGTCGCTAGGCTCGACGATCACCATCCAGGTCAAGGACTTAGACGAAGTGACGGAGGTGACCGAGATAGTCACGGCGCTCAGGGAGCAGTGCCCAATTGAGGTACCGCAAACAGCGGTTACCTTGAGGAAGGGACTGTTTTCCACCCAAGTGGCTACCGTCAAGCTGATGCCAGAAAGGCGGCAGCCACAAGGAGGGTGCGAGTGGGCTGGTCGGTTTGCCCCATGAGTATTCCCCGACCGGTTACAGCTTGCTTTAGGTGCTTCGGTCAGTGCAGCTGGTGCGGCTCGCAGGGTCATAAGGCACAAGGTTGCCAAAAGCCGCCGAGGTGCACTATATGCGCGGAGAAAGGGAAATCCGCTACCAACCACATGGCAGGTGGCCCACGCTGCCCAGGGGCCAAGAGCAATGCTGCGCCGGCCAAGAGCAATGCTCAGTCATATTCGAGGTAGCGCAGTTTAACCTGAACCACTGTTCGGCTGCCCAGCAACTGCTATGACAATCGGCAGCGGAATGGGGAGCGGATGTCGCAATCATCTCCAACCCGTACCGCGTCCCAACCGGCAACGGGAATTGGGTCACGGACGCGTTGGGGATGGCGGCGATATGCACAATGGGGAGCTTTCCCGTTCAGGAGGTAGTCGTGTCCAATCCGAGCGAGGGATTCGTGATCGCCAGGGTTAATGGAGTATATTTAAGTAGCTGTTATGCTCCGCCCAGGTGGTCTATCGAGCAGTTCTCGCAGATGGTGGACAGACTCACTGCGGTACTTGTCGGCCTCAGACCAGTGGTCATTGCGGGCGACTTTAACGCATGGGCGGTGGAGTGAGGCAGCCACCACACCAACCAGAGAGGATGCATCCTACTGGAGGCAATGGCAAAACTGGATGTTGTACTAGCCAACACCGGCTCGGTCAGTAGCTACAGAAGGAATGGTGCAGAATCCGTCATTGATGTGACGTACTGCAGCCCGTGTTTGGAGGGCAACCTACACTGTAGGGTCGATGAGGGTTACACCCATAGTGACCATCAGGCGATCCGCTATAGTTTGAGGCCAGGTGAGAGGCGAGTGGCAGGAAGGAATCCTTCCTGCGCTCGAGGCTGGCGGACGTCGTTCTTCGAGGAAGAGGTCTTCGGCGAAGCACTGAGGCGGGAGCGGATAACCCCGGATCCGACGGGGGAAGAACTAGTAGCATCGCTGACAAGGGCGTGCGATACAACCATGCCTAGGAGAGCCTATCCCAGGTATGGCCATAGACCAGTGTACTGGTGGAGTGAGTCGATTGCTATCCTCAGGGCGTCTTGCCTCCAGGCGAGAAGGAGGATGCAACGAGCTCGTACGACTGAATCTCGGGAGGAACGCCGTGTCGCTCTTCAATAAGGGGATCACCAGACGCAAGCGTGCGTGCTTTGACAGCTTATGCCAAAGCGCCAACACGAACCCATGGGGTGATGCCTACAAAGTGGTCATGGCCAAGACCCGTGGCGTGACGGCACCCCCGAAGAGATCGCCGACGATGCTGGCGTCGATCGTTGGGTTCTTGTTTCCACGTAAGGACGTAGACTCCTGGCCGCGGATCCCAGCCGCGGATCAGGGAGAAGTGTCTAGAGTGACGAACAGAGAACTTAGCGATATTGCCAAGTCGCTGGTGGTGGGCAAGGCCCCGGGCCCAGATGGAATCCCGGTTGTGGCTCTGAGGGCGGCCGTTGCGGAAAATCCAGACATGTTCCGTTCTGTTTTTCAGACCTGTCTGGACGAAGACATCTTCCCAGATGCGTGGAAGCGGCAGAGGCTGGTGCTGCTCCCAAAGCCAGGAAAACTCCCTGGGGACCCGTCAGAATACAGGCCCATTTGTTTGCTGGACACCACTGGGAAACTGCTTGAGAGGGTCATCCTCAACAGGTTGTCGGCTTATACTGAAGGTGTAGACGGCTGAAGGTGTCAAGCAGCCAGTACGGGTTCCGTAAGGGCAGAGCCACGGTGGAAGCCATCCGCGACGTCATCCAGACGGCAGAGGTGGTCCACCGGAAACGAAAGGGCATTCGTTACTGCGCGGTGGTAACCTTAGATGTGAAGAATGCGTTCAACAGTGCGTGCTGGGGGGCGATAGCCCGCTCGCTACACCAGCTCCAAATTCCCGGAGGGCTGTACAAAATTCTGGAAAGCTACTTCCAGAATCGTGTGTTGACGTACGACACAGAAGATGGTGAAAAATACGTAAGAGTTACCGCAGGAGTGCCACAAGGCTCCATCCTGGGCCCGGTGTTATGGAACGTCATGTACGATGGATTGTTGAGGTTAAGATTCCCGGTAGGCGTGAAAGTTGTAGGTTTTGTCGACGATGGAGAAATGTGGAGGAATGGATGAGATCCAGGAAACTGGAGCTTGCCTATCACAAGACGGAAGTGGTCGTAGTCAACAATCGCATGTCGGTACAGCATGCGACGTTGACAGTCAGCGGAAGCACAATTAGGTCTGTGCGCTCTTTGAAACTCTTGGGGGTTATGCTCGATGATAAGCTCAGCTTCGGCTGTCACGTCGAGTACGCCTGCAAGAGAGCGTCTACGGCTGTGGGGGCATTATCCCGCATGATGTCAAACAGCTCGGCAGTGAATGCCAGTAAGCGCAGGCTCCTAGCTGGGCTGCGCTACTGGATGACTGTCACAGGCGAAAATTAGAGAGTACACACAGGCTAATGTGCTTGAGGGTGGCCAGTGCATACCGCACCATCTCGAGGGAGGCCGTCTGTGTCGTAGCAGGGATGATGCCAATCGGCCTTATCGTTAAAGAGGACGTAGTGTGCTATGACGCGAGGACCGTTCGAGGGGTGCGCAACAACGCGCGAGCGGTGTCGATTGCGAGATGGCAGTCAGAGTGGGAAAACTCCACAAAGGGGAGGTGGACCTACCGCTTGATACCTTCCGTATCAAGCTGGGTCAACAGGCGCCACGGGGAAGTAAACTTCTACCTGACACATTTCTTGTCAGGTCATGGCTGCTTTAGGAGTTACTTGCATAGGTTCGGACATGTAAGTACTCTCACCTGCCCCGCGTGTGCTGGCGTCGAAGAGCCGGCCGAACACGTTGTGTTCGCCTGTCCACGCTTCGAGCCAGTATCGAGCACCATGCTAGCGATATGCGGAGCGGATACCAGTCCGGATAACATCGTCCCTAGGATGTGCGGTACCACCGGGAATTGGAGCGCGGTGGTGACTGCGGTCACCCACATAGTTTCGGAACTACAACGACAGTGGCGTGCCGAGCAGCAGTTGCTTACTGCCCGACTAGATCGATAGAGTATTGCTAGAGAAGCGCCATAGCGCTATAGTGGCCCCTCCCACGAAGTAATGCCTTCGGGCGGTACCGGGGAGGACAAGGGCCAAGCGCACAGCGTAAGGCTTAGTGGGTCGGGAGTGCAATTCTCCCATCCCCACACCCTGAGTCCATTCTCAGGTGTCTGTGAGCAGATTCCCCCCTGTATAAAAAAAGGCCTATCATGGTGGTCACTCATGGTTACTTCTGTTTTCTGTTTTCATCAAGATGCTGAGCATGAGCTGTTTCATTAAAGACGCCGGGTTGTTTCTCGACATTTGAACCACCTCAACCACATAACTCAAACTTTACCAGCAACCAGGAGCACGATTAGAATCTTGATTAGGATAATTACGCACAAGAAGGACACCAGAAACTGAATTGCGATAGTGAAAAACGGATTTATTTATTATTTATGAACCTTTACAACTTTCAGAACAGCAATTATGCCATATTTTACCCTGCAATCCAAAACTCTGTGCACCAAACTTTGTATTATGGAGGATCCCTAATCCCCACTCTGGAATCCCCACCCCTATCATTCTGTTTTTTAGGGAGATCCCTATCCCAACTATATTATTTCGGGTCTCCCTTTGAGAACCCCATTAAATTTAAAAGAGACGAACCAGCATATCATGAGCCTATTTTAGCAGGAGCAAAAACTTTAAGATTTGAAAGTATATAAGATATAAGTCAAGAAAATAATAAATTGGATGTTTTAGCTAGTCACAAACCGTACAACACAATAAACACTTTATCTTCCGCTATCTAATAAGCCTTCTCCATCAAAATGGGATCCACTTGCAGTGGTTTCATTGTATGGCAGTATCACCAACGGGGGGCAGAGTGCTTCCATTGCAGCAATGGACGCATAACGTGGTCATCACTCACACACTCATCACGAAACGGTTGCTGTCCAAAATCGACGACGCATCGACCGAAAGAACAGCTGATGAAGACAAATGAGGAGGACCACACAATGGTTGCTGCTGAGTAAACAGAAGATCACGTGACACACATCGAAAGTGGCCTGCTTCTGTCGACAGCCGAGCTGATTACTAGTTTTTCTCAGAACTAATTTTTACAAAAAATTATCGTTTTTAAGTTATGATTTAAAACATAAATCTACATACGCTCTTATGACAAATTATTCGTGAAAAGTGGAAATTTTTAATGTAAGATGCCTTTTTGGGTAGCAATCACAGTATGTATGTGCCAAGTTTAATACAAATCGAAGAGAGTCATGTCCAACCGATTCACCATTTGGTGTGGAAATGCTCTGCATGTTAAGGGCAACCTCCAAAATGCAATGGGATAAACTGAATTTAAATTTTTGACACGTAAACATTAAAGATGGAGCTTATAAGCTACAAAAATACAGCATCGTTGTCGTGAAACAGCGTGTCAAATATTGGCAGCCTCTTTTCGATACAGGCCTTACTACATTCACCCTACATTTTGCCTAAATGAGCTTAAATTTCCCAAAAAACCCACCCATATTCATGTTCTGCTTTTCTCGCCCTTCCATCCATTCGCAGATCGCACCCAAGTGGAAATCACCGCCAGGCAGCAACCGAAACGTCCTACACCAACAAATGCTGCGTCCGAAAAGAGGACACAAAGCCGATTCCAGTCCAACGCCCTTTTGCCCAGCGGGAAGTCTTCCGGTCGTTAGCCGTTAACAAGCCCTGGCCGTGGTACCTAGTGGCTATTGATAGATAACATAGGAAGAAAGAAAGGAAGAAGAAGAAGAATAAGTTCCCCAAAGCTCCGAACACCACTGTTTATGACGGCTTCTGACGGCGGTACCTTCATCAATTGCCGTCAAGGTGGTCGTCAAGCTCTGTGGGATTCCAACCGCCACCACAACCACCCCCACAACGATGATGATGATGACTATCAAAAAGCAGGAATTCATACGAAAATTAATGACCATTAAATCGAAATTGAAGCATCAGTGGTGAAAAAGAGAGAGAGAGAGAGAGGGAGAAGCAAACAAGGAAACACAAAAACTGGGAAAGCTAAAAAGTTCAAATGTAATGAGTGTAATTGAAAATAATTGTGAGGCACGTGAAGGCGGTGCCGGGTGGGATAGCCTGTGAAATGGTGAAGTTTATTGTTCGAAGGGGTTTCCGTGCAAAATTGAAACCAATAGGAGAAAGAAGTGGAAAAACTACCTGTTGTAAATTTGAGAATTTCTATGGGTAGTTTCGAGCGCGCTCGGAAAGTAATTAATGTTTGGCTTCTCTGTGTTCCAGCCGGTGGCACCGAGTGGGTGTCCATTAGCCATATAGAGGCCAAGTCCCTGTTGAATGTAAAGAATCCAAGAAAAGTGTTTTCCAGAAGAGAATCAAATTCGAAAAAGTTGCGGTTGTGAAAATTTAGAAAATAGGTATCCACGTGTTAGTGTGTGTGTGTGTGTGTCTTAATTAGTCCAATTGTTACCCAAACCGGTTCCGTGTGAGTGAACATCCGCGTCCGATTGCTGTGCGCGGGTTGTATGATGAATCCTTCCAACGATGACCTTCCGAAATACATGTACTCAGCAGCAGCGGCAGCAGTTTCATCTTCCTTCTCACTGTCCGGATCGGCCACATCGGGATCATCCGGTACGGATGGTGGTAGTGCACTGTTCTTTAATGGTAGCAGTTCGGTGCTGGCATCGGCTAAGGCGGCCGGTTCATCGACGATATTCAGCGTGGCTTCGAACGGTGGCGTCCCTGGGCGAGGAGATCCCGGTGGACCGGGTGATCCAACGGGGAATCACGTAATCTTCCAGGGGTACAGTACCAGTGGGCCGAGCTCGTTGGACATGACCACCGGAACGGAAGGTGTCATCGAGGATTGCTGTGGAGCCGCAGCAGCCACCGCCAGTGGGGAGTGGATCGACGTGGTGCTGCTGGTGCTGAAGGCGTCGATTATGATGTTCATCATTGTGGCTGCCATTTTCGGCAACCTGCTCGTCATCATATCGGTTAAGCGACATAGGAAATTAAGGTGAGTTTCGATTGCCGGGAATTGGTTTCTCACTTTGTCCTTCTTTCCGAGCCGGCAGGAAATTGGATCATTTTTTTTTTTGCTGATGAACAGGAAATGAATGGTAATATGAAGTGATGCGATGGGATAGTCGGATGTGGTAAAACGTGGAATGGAGTAGGAATATGAATCGTGCTATTGATGTTGATTTATTTTGGAGATACTATCTTTTTTACGTGCGTCACAGTCCAACCGGATGTTAGGCTAGGAAAAATAATATAAAAAAAATCCAGAGTCTACTAAATTTTGTTTTGATTCCACCTTCAACCCTTGATAAAATTTTCAACATGTCCTAACATTGATAGTTCCACGCCAGAGGATGAATTGGAGATTTGTTTATTTGTTTATTTGTTTATTTAATAATTCAACTGACAATTAATGTCTTAATGAATAAAACTTAATCTAAATACATATTTGAAGATGCTATTTTCAAATAACAGACTGTAGTGGTAATTTTTATACGATAGATGGAGTAGATGAAAGCATAGAGTTGATAGTTCCGTTAGAGTACGGCAGTGTGAAGATTGCATATAGATATTAGAATAGAGAGCTAGGACAACTTTTAAGGAAGCTGTCCTAGCTCTCTCTAGCTCTCTATTCATGTCGTGTATATTTTTTTCAAAAAGACTTTATCTCATACATCATTTCGATCAGAAGAGACGGTTACGTGCTACTTTTTTTGAAAAATGACAAAGACGCCATTCTGAAGAAAATACAAGAACCAATATGACCGTATTTTAGCAAATATGTGAATGATATCCCATAAAAAAAATCTTGTAAAGTTTCAGGCAAATTGGAGATGGTCGAGAAAAATTTTAATGATTTTTGACTAAGTTTTATTCAATAATGGTTCGGAAATATTTGAAATGATTTAAATTCAGAACTTGAATCAATTTATTTATAATTTGTGAAGTTTCACAACTGCAAAAATATTGATGAATACCGATATTTTTAAAGTTCCCAAGCCTTAAAAAATATGGCTTAAGAAGAAATATACATTTTTTTTTATAATCCAATTATTTGTCAAGGCTCAAATGCGTTAGCTTTGCGGAGCCGAATATTTGTTACATGATTGTGTGTGAATATCATTTTCTTTCAATTAATGTTAGTAGACCAGGGGCCGATTACTCGCGGCTTACTCTAAATTAGGGATAACATTTATTGATCATTTGGAGGGAGGACAAGGGAAATAATTTAAAACTTAAACGTAAAGGATGACTAAAGCACAAAACATTAAACACATACATCAACAGCTTTAAGAAATTCGTAAATAAGCGTGATAAAGACGACAAATCACGGCAAGCCTAGACGTCTCTAATTGACTTAAAGGGTTGTTTTCCTCGGACCCTAAGGGAATCACACAGAACGGATCTCGCCTCATGATGCAAGGAGCAGGACCAAACAACATGCTCGATGTCGTGATAACCGTTTCCACAGGTACATAAGTTGCTGTCGGCGAGCGTAAAACGGAAGAGGTGGGCGTTTAACAAACAGTGATTGGACATGAGCCTGAACATTACACGAATAAAATCACGACTCATATCCAACCCTTTGAACCAGGGTTTGATCGACACCTGTGGGACAATAGAATGTAGCCATCTTCCCAGATCACCGTCATTGCACTTTTGTTGCCAGTTGGCGAGGACTTGCCGACGAGAAACCGTGAAAAATTCGTGGTAGGCGATTTGAAGAAGAAATATTTGAAAAACTTTCAATATTATTGATAAAAAACCTCATCTTCTTAAATTTTTCTTAGAACAATGCATCATCTGAACAACACAAATGGATACTTTTGGATTCTAAGGAAAAATTCTCACAAAATGCTTTCGTTCGAAATGTATGTATGAGATCAATATTAAAGATGTTTAGGCCGATATTAGGGACATTAGCCATTTTTTCGATAAAATATTCAAGAAACTATTGAAAATTCCGAGAAAACTCAATTATTGATGTCAGACCTAACAAAAATTTCAAAATTGTGGAATTCTTTAGGGTGGGGCTTATTTTCAAAATCGTTCGAGTCACATTTTCCCATGTGGAAATTGATTATTGGGGCTATTTAAGCAACATATAAAAATAGCTTGCGGTAGAGAATTCCAGCATATCGAACGATGAACTTTTTCAAACGTAAACACGTGATGTTGTGACCCCAAGGAACTAAAAATTAGTCCGTTTTGTGATATATAGCGTAGCGATGAAAGCGCAAATGGACTTACGCCTACATATTGATCTACATATCACAATCAGCATCCTCGCGGTGCTAGATGCAGCTTGTGTATGAGAATAAGAGAGAATTATAGATAAAGAGAGCTTATGAGAGACACCACAAGAGGGGAAGACAGATTTATCTTATTACAGTGAACTCTCTAAATTTACACTCCAAGATTCATCAAGTTAGGGCGGATATCGAGTAGCTAAATGTAACTTCCACGGGTGCAATAGACTTACAGGAATCACTAGTATCGCTTATCCATTATTAATCATCTGTTGATTATTTGGTGAGCTCAGTGCAAAAACGTAGCCAGGTTTCGAGCTAGGGAGGTGCGAAAAAAAATTCTATGGAAAATTTGGCCGAATGTCATTTTACCGAACGCCATTTCACTGAAAGCCTTTGTGTTGCTGGGTTTAGGCTCAGTGTAGACAATGGTGGTTCACTTGTTTGGACCGTTTTAGTTCTTATGCAGCTTCATGAAGATAAACACCGTCAATCACTTAACATAGCACACTATATTTAATTCAAAACTGGGCTTAGACCACAGAAATTAGCAAGTTTATTAAATAGTTTCTAACTTAAAATTAGGGCAATATGAAATCACCTAGTGATGTTTTACCTGATCAATCTTCGACCATCTTCGATGCGAATAGTAGTTGCACTGATCTGTTGTAGATACGATGAGGATTCGATGACCCGCTGGGTGTTCATTGGTGGCGGATGACCATCGCCGTTCTCCCTCTCCTTATTAGATTTACATCAGTAGTGGTAGATCGTTCACTGAGCATTCCGTCGGTATTGGAAAGTAGTGCCGATCAATCCCGACAATATTTCTTTTTCTCGTGTAACTCGCTGTGTCGCGTCGAACACGTATTGCTATCTGGATCGTGTATTAAATAAAATTCTAAAGATTTTTAAAAGGCAAGGCACACGAAAAAAATGTCAATGAAAAATTCGTTTAATTAATAATCAAGATTACAAAAATTGTCAATACACAAACAAAGGGTAAGATATTACGTGTATGACGACAGTTCATTATATAAAATGTAAAATGTTTGCAGCTATCAAATTCATAAAATTATGTTCTTAAAAATTGGATATCACCTGAAGATTTGCTTCAGACGCTAGGATTTAAAGATTACAATGGTAACATAAGTCGGAATGAAGATAATTACCTTTCTGTAAATGTAAATGTTTAAAAACAAAACCTTCCTTATTTGACGAAAAGAACAATTGATGATAAGTAGCATAGGCAATAGCTAGCAGTCTAGCAGTTTATTAATCAATGAATGTTTTACGCTAAAATCAGATCCCATTTCAAATACAGCCAACCCAAGTAACATTTTAAGTTTTATGAAGTACTGTAAAACAACACTCATAAAACCCTGGTCAAGACTGCTTTGCCATAGATGCATCCACCAAAACCTCATTGATGCTAGAATCTGTCTAGTTGGCCCACCCTCTAGAAGGTTCTGACAGGTGTATTTTTGAAGCTCTTCAAGATTGATTTACTGTAAAATGGTTGTGTGATAAATGCATTGAGAGCCACTTCAAACCCGTATTTAAGCTACAATAAAAGCTATTTGGCAACAATTTAAACCAATATTCAAGCCATTTAACCTAGCCGCTTGCTGAATCCACTAGAAAAACAACAATCAAGATAAAAAACTGATTCATAAATACTATCCGGTCTTGTCAAAATAATTGAAATAAAAACTGATTGTATAAAAATTCTGTCGAATTTCCAAAATTGTAAAATAGTTCTCATGAAGTGGTTGAACTAGGTGCCATATAAAATTTGAGGTGAAATGTGCGTGAAAAAAATCGAAAAACTTGAGTCCGCCCACGGAAAACATCGATTTTACTAATTATTTTACATTAAGAAAAAAAAATAATCTTCAGATCGATCATTAAGTTTAGCCAAGATTTTGGTTTTTCATGATTTTAGCATTCTAAATATTTTCTCATTGTTAAATAGACTAAAATAAAGTTATATCCAAGAAAACACAGATTGAAAATCGAAGATTGTAAAACACGAACAAAATTATTGTAATATGGCGGGGACATGAATTTTGATTTTCATGGGGCATTTGTTAAAAAGCTATTCGCAAGGTCTGGAGAAGGCTGATCTGTTTTCAGACTGTTTTGGCAATGTCTTATGAATTTGAGGACCACGCTCACTTTATTCTTCTCCACCAGATGCTCAGTCGTTGATGGTACCCGTTCCACAGGATGTGCTGGTTCTTCCAAAGAACTAAATTTTAATGAAATTGACTTCCCTTTGGTCGTTAGCATCGCTTGAATTTTTCCTCCAACTTCGTTCATCCTTCGAGATATCCTTGTCATAAATTTGGTTTTTGTTCACTATAATTTCACCTTTTTATTTTTCACAAACACGAACGTTTTCAAAGTCAATCGAAAATCACAATATGCTGAATTTTACTTTTACCGAGACCGTTACCAACTCAGTTACAGAAACTTCAGTCAAATATTTCACTGAAGTCAGTAATGAAGCTGATTTACAGACCTGCCGGTAAAAATGTTTACCGTTTTCGTGAAATTAAAATGAAATTACCGAAATTCGGTCGTTTCATTTACAGTTATCAGCAATAAAGCGAGAAAATACCGAAATATCTGTAATTTTTAGTATTACCTATTTAAGACGATATTTTTTTTTACCAAACTCACGGTCTCTGTTTAAGTGTGAATTCAATAAAATACACTTTTACTCCTTAACACTTTTTGAAAT